TATACTGTCTATGTAGTTTATGCTTATATTGTTTTCTTTTTCTTCAACTTACCTGTAGTCAGTAGTTTCAATTCTCCTGAGGAAGCAGGCATAACTGTAGAGGCAACATTCTCTACTTCTGAACAGAATTGAATTCAAATTAGTGCGTGATGAGTGTCACAAGTTAGCCTGCAGTTTCTTGGTTGTGTATTCTTGAGCAAACTGTCAGCACCTGTGGTAGTGAGCCTTTGTAGATACTCTACTTGGGGTTCCCCAGGGCGTGGAGTCTAAGCCCCAGCCTGCTTCTTCACCAGAGCCCCTGATGGTGGGGATGGACTTGCAGCAAGCTGGGACCAAGTTTCAGCCCCCAGGTACGCCCAGCTGAGGATGAGGAGACTGCCCGCGGGAGCAGAGTACAATGAGAAGAAACAAACAGAAATCCGATAGACTAGCCAAGGTCAGGACAGGCGGAAAACAAGCACAGTCAGACAACGAAGCCGGGGTCAGTACACAAGTAGTCAATGCAGGATACAGGCAATAGCAACATACAGGAGCTCAGACAACTAGGAAGTTGCTCAGGCAAAGTGGCCTAGACTGAGCATGCCTTAAATAGGCAGGCAAACAAGGAGGCGGGCCAGGAAGTGATGGAAGGGAAAGAAATAAAACCCAGAGAACAGCAGACAATGCCCATAGGTGAGCACAAACAAACACACATGTGAAGGGATCAGGAACAGCTCTGCAGCAAGGAGGAAAGAATGAATAAACAAACTGCAGGCTAATTTGTGACAATGAGCTGTTATATTCTGTGGTGTATTTTTTTACGATGTATCAACAACGTTTGTACAGAGGTTATATACCTTTTTATATTTTGGTGTGTGTGTGTGACATCTCCTTTGGGGCACCTTTAAAGTCCATGGGTAATTTCCCTTTTCTTTTCCACATTTCAGTTTTATTGGATGTGGAGCCCCACCTTATACCCCGGGGTTTGATCACCTCAATTTTATTTTTACATTAATTCTCTCCAGCAGATGACCAGGCTTGGCCTTCTGTCTATTCATATGTGCTGGATTCCTTGGATAAAATACTGGTCCGCTGAATCAGCCTAAAAAAAGCACTTGGAGCATACCCTTTGCAGGTTGAGGTCTCTGGTGAACATGTAGACTCTTTTATTAAGAAACCTTTAATCTCCTGCAAACAAATCATTCTCTTGAGTTTAGAAAGAGTTTCTTTCATCCCTCCCAGACTTCTTCCTCCAAGTTTAAATCCAGCCCCTCCTTTCACCACAAGCCCTTGCTCCCAAGCCAGCTAAAGCCTAGCTCCAAGCACCGCTCTTAGTGATTGTCAAGTGGGGAGACAACTGTTGACTTTCTTAGATGCCTGGATCTCTGCAGCATGAGGCTATTTCAGTCATTCTCTTTACAAAACCATTTTTGTGCTAGTGGATAAGATGCACTCCTGTTTAAAACTGGAGCCCCCAGATTTTGTCCAAACCAAATGTTACCAGTATTGTCTCCAAGAAGGCTCCCAAGCCACTCAAGACCTTTCAAATACACTTAGCTGTAGAAGAAGCTTTATACAATGACTGATCACATGCTGAAAAGTTTTAATTTCCAAAAGGCTTTTTACAACAATATCCAATGCATGAGGAGTTTTATAAAAAGAGGCAGTTCCTTCTGTGGATTCTGCTACTGCCTACCTTAATTGATCCCTTATGGTTCCTGTTGACATTATTCTGGTCTTATCTGGACACAGCTGACAAAAAGCTTGAATCCCTGCTTAAGGCTTCTTTCACTTTGTCTATTTAATAGGTCAAGCGAAATCTGTGAGACTTGCAGTCTGGTCCAAACGTATGGTTTGTGACTCAGGTTCTATTCTGACAGATCCTTCTGTACTTCAGCACTTGGAACTGCCACCAAAAAGCTTACAGTATTGTATGGGTAGTTTTGGGAATTCTTTCCAGCAGATGACCAGATTTGGCCTACTGTCTATTCAGATACGCCATATTCCTTGGATAAAATACTGGTCTGCTGAACCAGCTTAAAAAAACACTTCGAATACCCTTTGCAGGTTGATGTCTCTTTGGTGAACATGTAGACTCTTTTATTAAGGAAGTCACTGGTCGAAAGAGCATGTTTTTGCCTAGCAGAAAGAAACCTTTCCTGCTAGGAAACAGTCCTGCAAACAAATCATTCTCTTGAGTTTAGAAAGAGTTCCTTTTATCCCTACCAGACATCTTCCTCCACTTCTAATTACAGTCCCTCCTTTCGCCACAAGCCCTGGCTTCCCAAGCCAGCTAAGCCTAGCTCCAAGCCCCTTGTCAGGAATGGACTGGCCAGCAATGGTGGGACTCGCCTGCCTTATGGGCTGCAGTACCAGGGCTGGCCAGCGGGTGCTCCCAGCAATCAGAGACTCAACCTTGCAGCCAGCTAAACACCTGAAACTGCTTATACTGGTGTATTTAAGGGATGGCCAGACCTGCAGACTCTGCCTTGGTGTGTGTTTTTCCTGGGCCCTGTATCCTGTTCCTGCATCCTGTTCCTGTTCCTGTCTTGTTGCTGACCCTGCCTGATCTGACCTCTGCTGACTTCTCCTGCTCTGACCCCGGCTCGTTCCTGACCATCCCTCTGCCTGACCCTCTGTACCACGCTGCCAGCTACCTGCTGAACCTGGCTTGTGACCCCGACCATTCTCCGCTTGCTCCCCCTGTACCTACCTGCCCGATTGATATTAACCCGGCCTGCCTGACGACGCTTGCATTGTATGTACTGTTATCTGTGGGTGGTTTGGTTTGGTTCGTTTGCACTGTGTTATGTTTTAGTATTGCACTGCGTTTATGTTTGTATTGTTAGTGTTAATAAATTATATTGTTTATAACATATCTGAAGTCTGCGTTTCCCTGCGTCAGTCACATACCTCTGGTCACACCCTGGAGCCCTGACATTACACCAAGGCCAATCCTGACCAGAAGTGGCTGCACAGGGAAGCCATCTTGGTTTGTTGATGGGAAGGATGGATCTTGATGAGGTTGTGTATTTATATCTGCTAGTGTTTGATGACAGAGAGTATGCTTATCAAACTCTGAAGGAGTATCCCCGGGATGAACTGCTAGAATGTATACGGCTCGCTCATGTTCTAGTAGATCAGGGCACAGAATTCTCTGAGGTGCAGCCATTGATTCAGGTTTGTGCGGAGTTGGTTTCATCTGGTACCCCCGAATGCAGGGATGAATTTTTGCCGCCATTTAGTGCCGACCAGGTAGAGTCCCTGGTATGGTTATTAGAGGATGATGTGGATTGCTTCTTGGAGCATTATGCTGCATGTTCACCACAGGTACTAAGAGATTGTATAAACGCAGTGCAGTCTTTGGTCAGACAGGCTTTGTGTAAGCTCAGCTTTGTTCAACCCATACTGCAGACATGGACAGATTTGTTGCACCCAGCCTCAGTCAGCCTACAAAAACTCAGTCCTGCTTCTAATCTATTTCCTCAAAGCTCTATTCCTGCATTCCCAACAGCTCCTCCTGCCCTGCTATCTACCGCATGTCAGTACCCTGTTCCCACTCGCTGCACCTATCCTGCCTTTAACCCTGTAAAAAAGCCCTCTGTAGCAACTGCTCCCTCCCCTGTTCCATCCTCCAGCTCTTCTCTGTCTCCAGCTGCTCCATTCGTTTGCAGACCTGCGTTTACTTGCAGTGCTCCAGTAGTTAAAACCAGAAAAAAGCGAAAATTCTTTCCAACCAATACCATCCTGCCAGTATCCAAACCGGTGAGCCTGCCGTCTGAGAACCTGCCTTCCGTGGTTCAGCCTGGTGCCTTGGCACCCGCACTTCAGCCTGAGGTCTGTACCCAGCCTGATGCCTGTACCCAGCCTGATGCCTCTACTCAGCCTGATGCCTCTACTCAGCCTGATGCCTGTACCCAGCCTGATGCCTGTACCCAGCCTGATGCCTGTACCCAGCCTGATGCCTGTACCCAGCCTGATGCCTCTATTCAGCCTGATGCCTCTACTCAGCCTGATGCCTCTACTCAGCCTGATGCCCTCTACTCAGCCTGATGCCTCTCTTCAGCCTGATGCCTCTACTCAGCCTGATGCCTCTACTCAGCCTGATGCCTCCACTCAGCCTGATGCCTCCACTCAGCCTGATGCCTCTACCCAGCATGATGAACTGATCCAGCCTGATGATCCTATTAGGCCAGTTGACTCGATGCCCGCTGTTGATCCAGATGATCCGGTACCTGATCCGGTGCCCGCTGTCGTGCCAATTGACTCAGAGCCCGCTGTCGTACCTGGTGACTCGGTGCCCACTGCCTTGCCAGATGACACGGTGCCCGCTGGCGAGCCAAATGACCTGATGCCTGGTGACCCAGTGCCCGCTGTCATACCTGGTGACCCGATGCCCGCTGTCGAGCCAGACGATCCAATGCCTGGTGACCCGGTGCCCACTGCCTTGCCAGATGACGCGGTGCCCGCTGGCAAGCCAAATGACCTGATGCCTGGTGACCCAGTGCCCGCTGTCATACCTGGTGACCCGATGCCCGCTGTCGAGCCAGACAATCCGGTACCTGATGACCCGTGTCCCGCTGTCGTGCCAATTGAGTCAGAGCCCACTGTCGTGCCTGGTGACTTGGTGCCCACTGTCTTGCCAGATGACGCGGTGCCCGCTGTCGAGCCAAATGACCTGATGCCTGGTGACCCGATGCCCGCTGTCCAGCCAGACGATCCAATGTCTGACCCAGTGCCCGCGGTCATGCCAGTTGACTCGGAGCCCACTGCCTTGTCAGATGACGCGGTGCCCGCTGTCGAGCCAAGTGACCTGATGCCTGGTGACCCGATGCCCGCTGTCCAGCCAGACGATCCATTGTCTGACCCAGTGCCAGCGGTCATGCCAGTTGACTCGGAGCCCACTGTCCTGCCTGGTGACCCGGTGCCTGTCGCTCTGCCTGGGGGTCCGGCGCCCGCCGCTCCGCCTGGGGGCCCGAGACCTGTCGCTCCGCCTGGGGGTCCGGCGCCCGCCGCTCCGCCTGGGGGCCCGAGACCCGTCGCTCCGCCTGGGGGTCCGGCGCTCGCTGCTCCGCCTGGGGGCCCGAGACCCGTCGCTCCGCCTGGGGGTCCGGCGCTCGCCGCTCCGCCTGGGGGCCCGAGACCCGTCGCTCCACCTGGGGGTCCGGCGCCACCGCCCCGCCTGGGGCCAGGGACCCGTCGCTCCGCCTGGGGGTCCGGCGCCCGCCGCCGCCCCGCCTGGGGGCCCGAGACCCGTCGCTCCGCCTGGGGGTCCGGCGCCCGCCGCTCCGCCTGGGGGCCCTAAGACCCGTCGCTCCGCCTGGGGGCCCGAGACCTGTCGCCTCGCCTGGGGATCCAGCCTGATGATCCTACTAGGCCGGTGTGTGTTTTTCCTGGGCCCTGTATCCTGTTCCTGCATCCTGTTCCTGTTCCTGTCTTGTTGCTGACCCTGCCTGATCTGACCTCTGCTGACTTCTCCTGCTCTGACCCCGGCTCGTTCCTGACCATCCCTCTGCCTGACCCTCTGTACCACGCTGCCAGCTACCTGCTGAACCTGGCTTGTGACCCCGACCATTCTCCGCTTGCTCCCCCTGTACCTACCTGCCCGATTGATATTGACCCAGCCTGCCTGACGACGCTTGCATTGTATGTACTGTTATCTGTGGGTGGTTTGGTTTGGTTCGTTTGCACTGTGTTATGTTTTAGTATTGCACTGCGTTTATGTTTGTATTGTTAGTGTTAATAAATTATATTGTTTATAACATATCTGAAGTCTGCGTTTCCCTGCGTCAGTCACATACCTCTGGTGACACCCTGGAGCCCTGACACCCCTCTTCGTGATGGTCAAGTGAGGAGACATCTGTTGGCTTTCTCAGATGCCTGGATTTAAGACATTCTTGATATTTGGGTCAGGGATATTGACCCTGGGGGTACAGGCTGGAGTTTCACTCTCCCTCTTCCCGAATCATGCCTTCTAAACTGCTTTCTCCTTCCCTCTTCACAAGCTAAAGGATCTGCATGCTGCTCTTCAGCAATTGCCCACCTTGCAGGTAAATGTTCCTGTGCCCGCAGAGGAGAGATTTCAGGGTTTTTACTCAAAACTATTCATATTTTCAAAAGCCAAGGACTAATTCATTCTATCCTGGACCTGAAGTGTCTGAATGACTTCCTATGGATCCAACAATTTCATATGAAATCAGCCAGGTCAGTCATTGCCTCTTTACCACTGGTGGATCTGCTGGCATCTGAAGACATCAGACGCCTATTTACACATTATCATTTTCCCCCACACCAGTGTTTTTTATGTTTTGCTGCTCTGTGATCTGGGTGATCATAGACCAATTTTCTAAGATGGCACATTTTATACCTCTATCCTCACTGCCTGTATCCACTGTCTTGGTGCCGATCTTTATTTGACAAATTTCAAGATTTATATGGGATGCCCATTTTCATCTTTAATGATCATGCGTTCCAGTTCACCTGGCAATTCCAGAGAGGCCTCTGCAAGCCCCTTCAAATTTCCTAACAGTTCTTCTCTTCCTATCACCTGAAACCCAATGGGCAGACTGACACAACCAACCAGTCTCTAGAGCAATTTTCCTCCTTTGTGTTGGATCATAAAGACAACTGGGTCTCTCTTCTGCCATGGGCAAAGTTCTCCCATAACAATCAGCAGAATGCCAGCACCGTGGAGTTTTCAATCTTTAACTTTTATGGCAAAGACCCACATTAGCCTTTACCAATGTCTTCAGCTCCAGAAATTCCGGCTCTGGATTCCATGCAAAGGGCTATGAATCAGATATGTGCCCAAGTACAAAAACAACTCCTGCAAGCAGCCGTAAGCCTAAAAAATGTGTCCTTCAACAACACCTATAGGCTCCTAGATTGCAACTTGGTGATAAGGTTTGGCTAGCGATGAAGAATGTTCGCTTTGATGTGACGTAACCAGGTGCTGGCTATATCATTATGTCATTCAGGAACATTTACAGATGAAACTATGGGTAATCCTTGTTCCCTCTAGTGCCCATGCTGAGACTGCTACATCACCTCCTGTTAGCAACGTGGATTCAGTTCTTCTGACAGCAGACGATGCTGGATCCTGTAGTCCTATAGCCAATACATACTGTATTTCTGAGTGCTGATTAAACTACAACTACCAGAGAGCTGAGGAACCAGAAGGTTGTGGGAGAGCAGATACAGTATATTCTACAGTAAGAAAAACTGTCTCTTGGTGCAGGATTCAGAGCTGAACACAGGGGGACTGCCGTTCTCTTCCAGAGACAGATTGCTGGCTACTACTGTGGGGCTATGTATACCAGTTCAGCACAGCAGTGACACTGATCACCACACTGGGATCGTATCAGCTTCTCTGCATCTGCACTGTCACTGCCCAGTTTTTAGCCAGTCATCTCTGCTTGCCGTGCTGTCAGACGGTAACTGTGCACTGCGCTTGTGCATGAACCCTGTTCCTAGGAGGCTGTGCTCTCCATGGGATTGGTGAATGGGTGCCCAACCCTTTTCTGGTAACACTCTAGGGATACAGCATGCAGACACCTTTTACATTTCAGTACCAAGAGATCTTTGCTTTGAACGTTTACCACAGCCTATTTGTTATCTTAATTGAATTACCATTACTCACTACTGTATATGGACCTCACCATTGCTAGCAGAAGACAATGGCTAGTATCACATCAGGAACTTTGAACATCTCAGACTCAAGTTGCTATTTCTAGTTAAAGGGACTTCTTCACATCTAAGCCATTGTTATTTAAATTAAGATGTCTATACCCATTTATGCCAGAATATACAGTGTGTGTGTATATATACAGTCAGGTCCATAAATATTGGGACATCAACACAATTCTAAAATTTTTGGCTCTATACACCACTACAATGGATTTGAAATGAAACAAACAAGATGTGCTTTAACTGCAGACTGTCAGCTTTAATTTGAGGGTATTTACATCCAAATCAGGTGAACGGTCCACCAGATCCCAGATTCCAAGTTCTCCTGTGGGAAATTAAATTACCTAAAAGACTGGAAGGTCTTGGGTCCCAGCTTCTGATGGGGTAATGTCATACTTACTTGTTCCACATTTCAGTGCCAGGTCTTTCCTTCTGTGTGCGGCTGCCATTTTCCAGCTAACCACAGAGGGCGTTGTCTTAAAGCGCTAGCATGCAGCTTGCTCAGTGTTTGAGCAATTTGTCCACATGTCAAGACCTCTCCTGTTCCTAGTGTCTCTTCAGCCTGTACCCAGCTTCTGTGTGCATTCCCCAGTGTCTTTGGTGATTCAAGTCTTGTGTACTCCAGCCTGTGTCCCTGTGCCTGCTCTTCGTTTTCCCCAACCTATGTCCTGCTCCTAAAACCCCTTGTTCTCTTGCCAGAAACCAGTCTTCACTCACCACCGTGTCTACCTTTGCACTCAGTTACCTGCTTCTCTGCACCAGTATGGTTCCCTGTGAGTTCCTGTCAGCTTCTGATTTTCAGCACCTACTGTATGTACTCTCAGCCTTTGTTTCCTGTCTGTGCCCCTGTGTATTCCTGTGCACATTAGGCAGCAGGTAATACTCCTGTGTTACTTGCTGCCTAGTGAATCCAGTGCCCCAGTGCTGCAAAGGAGTTTCACCTGCTTTCAGTTGCAAGGACTACAGCCTGGGTATTGCCTGCAATGTTACGTCTCTTATAGGAGCTGTGTTGAAAACCAAATGGTACCTTAGATTCTGCACCTCAGCCCTTTTCAGGGTTCTCACCATCATTAAGTGAGCAGAAAGCCAAGCACTCATTATCTGCCACAACTAGTCCTAGTTTTCTACTCTGCTCCTAATGGGAGCAGATTCCCAATTTGTGACAGGTTGAAGGCATCCCCGAGCCATGTTCTTTAAAAGAATTTTGCATTTAATGTTTCCCTTCCAGCATTATTAGAAACACTGCTCTCTGCCTAATGGGACTTTTTAAAAAAGGTTTGCTTTGGTACACATCACCCAGGGCAGTACTCAGCCCCATGCCATTTTTTGACAATCCCATGCCAATTGGCCTAGACAATGGTCATTACTGTTTTTTACCTTCAGCGCACATTAACTTCAGTGGGGTTCGGATTCGATACCTGAACTTTACTGATGCTCTGTGAATCTGCCTCAAACTGAACCCAGGAATGTTTGGCTCATCCCTAATAGCCAGGAGGCAGTAAATATTACAAGTTGTAATTTCTACTAAATAGACACCAGTGTTTTGTGGCAACTATGGGTGATATTACCTGCCATCCTGAAGAGGTTCCTTTGAGAAACAGACCTACAAAAATATGGTGAAAGAGTTACTACTCATGTTTAGTCACAATGGAATCCCTAAAAAGATCCTGCCAAGTTATGTGTCCCTACATTACGTCAAAGGTTTTGAAAAAATTGTGTAAAACTTTGCGCAATAAAGCAAACCAAGCCAACTAATTTAACTGTTTTCCAAACCAGTTTCATTTAAGGCATGCAAAGAATAATAACTGACACAGTTGCTTGCTGTCTGGCAGCACAGGTCAAACAGGGCAGTACAGTGGCTAAATGGTTAGCACTTCCACCTGTCAGTACTTGGGTCATCGGTTCGAATCCCAACCTCGGCACCACCTGCCTGAAGTTTGCATGTTCTCCCTGTGCTTGCGTGCGTTGCCTCTGGGTACTCTGGTTTCCTTCCACACTCCAAAGACATGCTGGTAGGTTAATCAGCTCCAATTGGCCCTAGTATGTGTATGTATGAATGTGAGTTAGGGACCTTATATTGTACACCCCTTGTGGGTTAGGGACTGATGTGAATGTACAATATATATGTAAAGTGCTGCATAAATTGATGGTGCTATATAAATACCTGAAATAAATACATAAACAGAGGATAATATGGCAGCTTCCCTGACTGTAAAGGAGAGGAAAGTTTACTTCTGCTTTAAAGTGGTTGTGCAGGTTGAAGGTGTTTTATCTTATTGCATTCTCTGCATTGTCAGCCCCCACAAATACTTACCTGAGCCCGATCTCGATCCAGTGCTGTGCCCAAGAGCAGTAGTGCTGCTCTCTCTCTCCCTCCTCACTGGACTCCATGAGAGCAGGGGTAGCCATTTGCTTCTGCTGCTGTCAATCAAATCTAGTGACGAGGGAGCAGGGGGCGAGGCCAAGCCCCACTGTGCGTTTCAATGGACACACAGAGTGTGGTTCAAGATTGAGTCTGCATGTATGCCACCATAGAAAACAGCTTCATATGGTTGCACATGAAGAGGAGGAGTCCAGAGTGTCAGTGGGGAACCCCAGATAAGTAGGATTGGGCTGCTCTGTGCAAAAGCTTTGCACAGAACAGGTAAGTAGGACATGTTTATTAATGAAAAAAAAAAAAACA